GTGTCTTTTAACATTATACATATTGTATACGGCTTTTTTCAAAACAAATAAGATACATAATTGAATTATTTTGCTCAATTAAAAAATATCTTTTATTAGCACTAGCAGAAGCCATATTTTAAAAAAATATATAATTAGGGTTCCGCTAACCAAGTAGTCAATACCGTTTTAACCGGTTTTATCAAAAATGAGACTGTAGTTTTAAACGAATTGCAATAAACTAAAACAAAATCTGATTTTAAAAATTTTATCAATAACTGCAACTAGCTCTCTATTCCTGAGCTACAGTGAAAAATAGTTTTAAAAACATAATATTCATTTGATTTTGAATGTTAGATAGTGATAATGCGGGCAATGACTAAAGACAACAAGGGCCACTTTGTGGCCCATGGGCCTCACGTAGGACAACCTTGGCAGGGATTTTGTGTTTAAAAAAAAACAGTTCTATTTTTGTTGCTAAAACAATATTATGGTCTACAATTTTATATTTCAGAAACCTGTTAAGAACTTATTTTTATGTTTTCAAAGAAATATAAAACTTCTAGGGTGGAATGCAAGAAGCGAACTTGAGCAAGGTTCGACTAAAACTTTGAAGTATGACTTTGTCAAGTTAGACTTCAAAAAAAATACCTGAGCAAATATCTAGACGAAACTTGAAAATTTCAAAATCGCGCTTGAGAAAGTCAAACTTGAAAAACTTAAAAGGCGTTGATTTGAAAGCGCAATCGGAAAAAAAAACTTTGCAACCAATAGTGACAGAGTATTTGAAAAGGAAAAACCTTTTTAAATAAAGCAAATTGACTATACATTTTTAAATAATATTTCTCAGTTTTATACTTTAAATTATTAACTTACAAAAATAAATTAAAAAATGTTACAAAAATAATAAATTTATTTTCTGTATTTTGATTAAAACTTAGTAATTTATTAAAAAACACTGGATAAAAATGAACATGCTAGTGCTACTTTCTATTTAGTCCAAGTCTCTAACTACGACGTAATAGCTGATTTACATTCAAATGGCATATATGCTGTGCGGTTATCAGCAAAGCATATATGTCGAACACATGAATTTTTATTATTCAATTTTCTTGTTAAAAATTTTATTTAGAAAAAAAAATTTAACTCTTAAAAGGCTGCAAGCAAACACTAATTACGTTTGGAGTTAACAGAAAATTTATTAAAAAATATGACAACAGTTTTCAATACCAGGACAAATATAAGGGAAAAACGCCTATGATGGTATAGCGCGAATGATAGCATACCAGTCATATTTCCATAAAAATTGGTTTTGGCGAAAAAGTGATCAGAATTAATGATTAATCTGACTTTACGTTAGTTTTTGTCAAAATACGTCCCTAATGCACAAATATTGTTTTTATAATCAACAAAAATCAATTTTGGGATGTGCTGTTGAAGTTTTATTTCCTTCATATATTTAAGACTGTAATTTTATTGTTAACTGTGCAGAAAAGGAATTTTAATGCATTTTATATCCAAGCTTTGTGCATTTAGTGCAATGCTTATTTTAATTTTATCTTTTGAACAAAGCAGACACAGCTTGTTTTAATGAAAATGATGACTTCTTCCCATGATGGAATACTGACGAGTTGGGAAAATCTTTTTTTTTTTTTTAAATTTAATTTTAAGTGAAGTAAAAAGAAAGTAATGCTCCAAAAGTTTTTTTTTTGGTCCAAAAAATACTTAACGCAATATACCCTATGCGCATGCAAAACTTTACAATGTTGCTGTGCAGCATGAAATGGTAAATTTGGATGGTTCCGGGTAACTTCTGGCTTTTCTGAGGGAGGACTCTAAGGTTAAATGAAATCATCAAGTTACTCTTGATCCTAAAAGTCCCATCCTCCCCTATGCCATCATTTGAACTGTGATTGCCTATGACGGTATACTTTTGCTTTTTTTTAAAAAAGTAATAACTAATAAAAAAAAAAGAACTGATGCAAACCGAGGGTTATTGTTGTTTCACATATAACAAGGAATGTATCCATATAAAAACTTTTATTAATGGTCTTCAGGATACTGATCAATGAAGCTTCAAAGTTAAGTATGCCATTACAGGTGCGTTTCCCCTAATATTGATAGAGATACAGAACAAAATCAGTAGAAGAAAATGGTTAATATAAGTTAGATCTTATCTAATGTACGACAGAACCTATTTTTGTTACAACAGTTAACAAGTCAGCAGTAGATGCCCAAAATATGTATAGATCAGAGGAGGATCCAGCATTTTATGGTCTTTAAGATAGTTAACCTGCGGCAACGGAGCAAGCTGCAAACAATTATGTTTAAACTTATGCCAAATAAGGATGCTTGGATAAAATTGCTCATCAGTTTAAGCTGACTTTTATCATTGAAGTGACAGAAAGAGTGTGGCCATTTGGTCAATATATAAATTTGAGAAAATGTTTTTTGCATTTAATAAGTTTTCTATATAAACAATAATTTCAGCTAAATAAACCTATTTACTTTTGAATTTTAGTAAAAGAGAAGAAAAGAAGATTGGTGAAACTGGCCTGAATAAACTGTAATACCCTAACAAGAGACAACGCTTTGCAAATACTGCCACAAAATTATTTAATTCTATTTTAAAATTTCATGAGGATAATGCAATTTTTGAATTGTTTCAAGTCGGGGTTGCATTGTGCAAGTTTCATAAAACTTTAAAATTTATAGTACATTTTTAGGATACAACTACTGATACAAAACGAACTTAACTTTCTTTCTTGCTTATTGCATATAGCATTTTACAATATCAATATTATTATATAACAAATGACCAAATGAGTCACAGAAGTTCATATTTGAAGTAAAGTTTTATGTTATTATCAAAAAACTTGAAGTACCAGAAGAGCTAAAAAAAATAACAAAAGTATTATGACATTAAATTATAAAAATTTCTGAAAATATTGACAAGTTACATATTAATACATCAATTTTAATAAATACAATTATAAGGATTATTTTATTAGAGCATTTCTATGTTTTTAAATGCTAGTCTTCTTTCAAGATAATCCTTTTTTTTTTAAACTGAGTTCTTCATTTACTGCAATATCAATAAAAAAGATTTTCTTTGTTGATACTTTTCAATTATTGTTTTTAATCTTTGATAAGTTAAGTGTTTATAAAAAGAATCGAGTCACTATTTGAATTTTTCCTACAAAACCTCTCGTTGATGCTTTAGAACCATTTTCCTCATTATAATTTTACATTTAGTCGTTTACCTAAATGTCATTTTGTTAAAAGGCAATGTTGTGAGTAAGCAAGATACAATTTATATAAAATTTTTTGGTTTTATTTGAAGAGCAATATTGCAAACAAATTCCCAAACAACATTTGACGGTAACAACAGTACTGATAATATGGGGTGTTATCACCTATAACATTGGCGTGCAGATAAGCTTCTAAAACCTGTTTAACGCCTGAGTTTGTAAAATCTTGAGATCCGTGAACACATATAACCCACTAAATATAAGCAGACAAAATTTCTTTTGAAGGGCATTTAACTATTTGGAAATTCAAAGAAAAATATCATTTTCTGTTTTGATACAACTCTGCATTTACTGCCTCAGGACTTGTTATCTATTGTTCCATTATATCCTGGAAATCGTCAAAGTTTGTAAAATTTAAAAAATTTAAAAATACTGTTTATATATTAATAAAACTTTAAACTCATAAAAAGAAGTAACAGCTGATATATATCCTCTATAGTACTACACACACACACAGACACACACATTTTTTATAAATATAACTTATACTATTTACACTATATATTTATGTATATATATGTATATACTATATACACTGTATATGTATGTGTGTGTAAACACACAAATATATTGTCAGAATATACAATATATATATATATATATATATATATATATATATATATATATATATATATATATATATATATATATATATATATATATATATATATATATATATATATATATATATATATATGTATATATATATATATATATATATATATATACATATACTTAAACAATGTATATAAACAATACGTGTATAAATATATATATATATACATATATATATATATAATAAATAATATAATAATAATAAGGTATGACTGTAACAACTGTTTTAAACAGTTGTGAAGTGCAATAACATAAGATATTCCACAGTTACAACTCATTTTGTCTTTTGTTTGTGTTTTAACAAATAGTTTCTGCAAAATCCAGCTTTTTCTAGTTTGTTTTTGAAGTTATTTATTGAAGTAGCTTCTATTATTTCAGATGGTAAGCTGTTCCACGCATTTACAACTCGATTTTGGAAAAAATGATACCTGAAGGTATTTCTGCTAAAAGGCTTCATCATTTTGAATTTGTGTTGTCGCAGACATGGACCCTCCTCCAATGCATTTCCACAATCGTTAGCAACCCAATTTATTTTATCGTGGCCATGCTGAATTTTATATTGTTGAATCAGATCTCCACGTAGTCTACGTTCTTCCAGTGACGTTAATTGCATAATATTCAACCTAGCCTCATATGATAATTTCCTAATTGTAGGTGCTAGTTTGGTTGCTCTTTTTTGGATTTTCTCAATCTTGTCATTGTCTTGTTTTAAAAATGGAGACTATGCCTAGACCGCAAACTCAAGATGTGGACGTATGAACGTTGTATCTTTTTTGGATTTTCTCAATCTTGTCATTGCCTTGTTTTAAAAATGGAGACTATGCCTAGACCGCAAACTCAAGATGTGGACGTATGAACGTTGTATAGAGCATTTTTACCATTTTTACATCTAAATATTCTCTTTATGGTACCTAACATTCTGTTTGCTTTGCTGGTTGCTGAATCAATTTGTGAGTGCCAATTTAAATCGGATTGAACCATTATACCCAAATCACGTTCAGCTTTTGTGTTACACAATGTATAACTGTAATTGCAATCAATATTAGTCATTATAGATGTAGCATTTGGATTTTTTTTCCCAATATGCATAACTTTTCATTTTTCATAATTAAACTTTGTGAGCCAAATAGATGACCATGCCATTATATTATTTATATCATTTTGAAGGCTTATTGAATCATTAGGATTTTTTATAATATTTATTATTTTACTATCATCAGCGTAAAGATTAATAGGGTTTTTGACTTGATCTGGCAAATCGTTAATAAAAATCAAAAACAGCAGTGGTCCTAAAACTGACCCCTGTGGTACACCACTAATAACTGGTAGCCAATCTGAGACAGTGTCGCCAAGGACCACTCTCTGTTTTCTGTTAGTTAAAAAGTTCTCTATCCATCCCAGATAACTTCTCACAATACCATATGATTGAAGTTTAGTGATCAAACGCGAGTGTGGTACTTTATCAAAAGCCTTTTCAAAGTCTAGATACAACATATCAACTGAGTGGCCATTTTCTAGTGCATCTGTTGTGATATCAAGAGTTTCCAATAGGTTTGTTGTGCAGCTTTCATTTTTTCTGAACCCATGCTGATTTTCATTTAATAAGCTGTTATTTATTAGATAATCCATAATTTCATCTCTAATGAGTGATTCTAAAACTTTACATGGGATAGAAGTCAATGAGATTGGCCTGTATCTAGATGCAATGTTCGTATTACCTTTTTTAAAAATTGGTGTTATATTTGCTAATTTCCAGAGCTCAGGTAATTTTTCCTCAGTCAACGATTTTATATATATTAAATGTAATGGTTCACAGAGAGTACTATGACATTTATTTAAAACATATAGGCTCATCCCATCTACTCCAATAGCTTTGTAAACATCTAATTTTTTGAATTTTTTTTCAATAGTATGGCAAGTTATTTTATTATTTATATCTACTTCTAGAATAATTTCAGTCTTCTGCGGTATACTTGGTATGTTACGTTTATCTTCGTTAACAAAAACTGAACTGAAACTATTGTTTAAAATATTTGCTATAGATTCTTTATTTGTTACAATGTTATTATATTCATTAGACATTGAAGCTATTCCTCCTTTAAATTTTTTGTTAGAATTTACATAACTATAAAATAACTTGGGATTTTTTTGATGTTTCACTGATTTTTTTTTCATATTCAATACGTTTTAATCTCACCATGTTTTTAACTAATTTACTTTGTATTTTGTATTGCTGAACCAAAATGGATGATTTGGATTTATTTGATATTAATTTGTTCCATAAGGTTGTTTTATGTCTGATTTCAGTCTTAATTTGTTTGTCAATATATGGTTTTAAAGCTATGTGTTTATGCACTTTTTTAGGTATATAACTGTCAGATAATTCTTGATATTTAATTACAAAAATTTTGTAGCATTCATCAACGTTTTTATTAGAGAAAATATGTGACCATCTTATACTATGGAATGAATTGTTCATTTCTTGATAATTTCCGGCTTTGTAGTTAAACTTTGATTTCCCATAGGAAGATTTTGATGCTGTTGGTTTTTTTAAGATGTAATTCCAATACAATATCTGATGTGCATTATTTAAATTGCTTAACGGAGGATTATAGCCTATGATCGAAATACGCTCTGGTGCATCGGTTAAAATCAAATATAAGATATTGCCTTGTGACAGTTTCCCTGAATTAAAGGTTGGTTTTGTGACGTTTTGAGTCAAAAAGTTATCATTTAAATTGTCTAAAAAAATTTGTGCTTGTTTATCATTTTTTAACACTGTTTGGATATTCTCATCATTCTTATTCCATTTTATATTTGGGTAATTTAGGTCTCCGGCTAAGAGTAGACCTGAATATTTGTTGCAATCAACACTTTTTTTAGCTATATTTATTATTTTATTTATTTTTTGATTTGTCAATTCTGTAGCATCTGGTGGACGATATATGCTACCAATTAAGATATTCTCATTTTCTGTTTTAATGACACACCAGACTTGTTCAACTGTCATTTCTTCAGATGCTAGGTCATATGGAGTATAAGCAATGTATATATTTTTAACATAAATAGCTACACCTCCGCCATGAGATTTAGTTGAATTAGATTTAGATCGATTGTTGTAAAAAACATTATACCCGCTTACATTTATGGCACTTGATGAGTTAAACCAAGTTTAAGTTACAATAAATATGTCAGGATTATACACTGCTATTTCTAACAAAAACAAATCGAACTTATTGTTAAGTGAAGTCGCATTTGTATATCTACAACATAGATGGTATTTGGATATTGATTTGCATAATAATACTTCTGATTTAATATAATTAGATACAGGATTATGTGTAGAAAGGACAGCCATTACTGCAGGTTGATACAAATTAATTGAGGATTGCTATTGCTTTGTTTTTTTAAGAGTTTCACAATTTTAAAATTTTTTATAGTGTAATAGTATTCATCTTTTTGATTTAGGCTAGCATTTAACAATTTAACTTCACTACGTAGCTGTTTAATGAGATCTCTTTCGGATTCTGTCATATCTGAGTTAAAATAAATTTCATTTATCTTGTTTCTGTTAATGTATACAGCTTTTAATACACTTATTTTGTCTGACGCATTGTCTAACTCAATGATAACTGGTAGTATTTTTGACGTGTCTCTTGTTTTGAGTCGAATGACTTTTTTTATTTTATCCTTGTCTGCATTTATTGATTCAAAAATATCGTTTACCATAACTTCATCACATTTTTTCTTGTCAATGTTATCATGATTTGCTAACTTAACACCAAAAATAATAACATTATTTTTTCTTTTATTACGTTTTTTTTCCTCATGTAGAACCGTGTTTATAATACCATTTTGGCCTTGATTTGTTTTAACTTTTCTTTTTACGACTTCACACCAATTATTTAAATCTTTTGATTTATCTTGGTCTAATTTATTTTCTAATTCATTTACCCTTCCTTCAAGATTTTTTATCAAAACATCTTTCTCGTCTAGTTTTTTTTCCAATTGCTTTATTTTTTCTTGCATTTCTTGTAGTAACATAATTATGTCTGAATTTTTTGGTGGCATTTTAAGAGTAAAACCAAACCAAATCAACTCTCGTCAATACACCAACTTCAATTTCTCTGATAAGAGGGCTACCACCCTAAAACAGTGGGTTACCTCTAAGTCGTGAACTTGTAAACCTTATTACACAGGGACTTATTAACACAAATTTAACGTCAAGTTTTTTTTGTGTTTTTTCCGTATAAATATATATATATATATATATATATATATATATATATATATATATATATATATATATATATATATATATATATATATATATATATATATATATATATATATATATATATATATATATATATATATATATATATATATATATATATATATATATATATATATATATATATATATAATGTTGGCATTAACAATAGCATTGTTAATGCCAACACCTAAAATAAGGGAATTAAAGTAAGTATTACAAGAGTTCATAATATTTTAACCAACAAACAAAAATAGATAAATAAATGTAAAAAGAATTAAAGAATTTCTTACTCAAGTCCATTTTCGTGAGCTTTAGTTCAATACTATTTTTAGGTTTTTGTTTTGAAAAAAACAGTTTAAATAAGGGCAACCTGTAGTTTAAATAGTGAAAATCAAGCTTTTAACTTTCTTGCACTATGCAGAGCTTATACCTGGGAAGAAGTAAAATATTTATTTTCATTTGATTAAAATTTTAAGAATTATACTTTAACTTTCAAATTAACTTTCATAATTTGACCAAAACAAACGCAAAAATCAAAACAAATAACGTCATAAAATACGCGAAGAAAAGCATATATACACATAATTTATATATCCAATTCCTTAGTACCATTTCTTTAGGTAAACTTAAATAAATACTTGTTTTAAATAGAGGAAAGGCTAAACTCACCATTCCACCTAGACGTTTTTCAAAAACACTTTTTTTTTCATATAAATCAACCTTAAACTTTTTAAATGCTGAGAACTAAAATTTTGTGTATAAAAGTTAAAAAACGTCCAGATTCCATTAGATTCCTCGTCCTTTTCCTAATAAATATAGAAAGTTTTATAAAAAATAGATGTGTTTAAGTTCTAAGGAATCCATATGGACAATATATAAATGAAGCCATACAAAACTTAGTACTTTCTATATATGGCTGGAAAGAGATTGAGTAACACTAACTGATAAAAAAAAAACATCAAGGCGCTTGCTTAACTATACTAAAAGATATAAGAGAGCAAAGTTTATAAAAATTACGCGTTTTTTGTCAAACGTCAAATGTTTTTTGTTAAGCCGTGGAATCGCTAGTCTTGTTTTTCAGAAGAAATGGACCCATGTACATTTCCTCGGCCTAATTTTTCAACTGACAAACCTATCTCGATATGATCTTTAAGTTTTCTCTTTTGAGTTCCAAACTTTTATTTGTAATTTAAGCTTGACATGTTTTAATAACTTGACAATCTGATGTCTTTTTTTTGAGACAGCATTTAAATCCTGAACAACAAATATAACCTTTATAAGTTTCAAAACAGTTATAAATTCAAACTATATAAATGATAGAATTCAAACAATTTCAGAATTTATTATTTTCGATTCTAAATAGGTTTTATAACAAAGTTCAATTAAGGTAAATGATTAACCTGAAAAATTACTAGCCAAATTATGTTTACCTATCTGATAACCAAGTAAAATATGAGAAAAACACGGGAAATAGTACACAACGGTCCGAAAAGTCGTCCGAAAAAAGTTGAAGCCATAATTGGCCTCCTCAGATGGCGGCGAGTTAAGTTTCTAACGGTGAAACCAATATATATTTTATATGGCTTTATCAAACTACGAAAGAAAATAATTAAATAAGGCTAAAAAATTTGTTAAAAATAAAAGAAAATAAATGCATTTTATAAATATTAGAGAAAAACAATAATATTTTTTTGAATAATTCAATTTATTATTAAACGGCATTTACAATTTTAGTTAAGTTTTGTGTATAATTTATGTACCTTTTAGTTCTAAGTTACTCAATGCTGTATGCTAAAAGGTTAATAACATAACAGCATAGTAAGCAGCAATCATCTCTACCTACAAATTTATATTCTCTATTTATTGTAGCAAGATACCAATTAATACAAATGCTGCATGAACTATTAACTGAGTATATTATTGCATAAATTTTTTGAATAAAACATTTTAAAATGTCACTTATACTGGTAAAAAAAACAAGTTTGAATTATAATTATTTATATCAACTTTTAAAACAAATAAAAGGTAAATAATCATTTTTTATAATTTGATATAAAATCACTCTCAATAGAATTAAGGATGTACAGTCATGTGCATGAAAATAGCAGTGGCACAAAAAATTATAAAAAAACCTTATTAAATTTAATGATATGCATAATTTTGGACCGTAATTGTTAATTTTTCATAATTAAGTGTTATCTGACACTATTTAGTCTAAAAAAAGCTTTTAAACATAAATGGACAATATCATACTACCATTTTTTTAAAAAAGGTACTTTTATCACATTTAATGAATGCAGATTTACCATTAAAAAAGTAAATAAAATATAACATTGATGAAAAACTATTTATTCATCTTTTGAAAATACATCTAATACTTAGTTCCATGACCCTTATTTTTCAATACTGCTTTACATCTTTGTGGCATTGACTCGATTAGATGACGACATCTTTCTAAGGGAATAGCTCTCCAAGCTGCTTCAACTGCTCTCCAGAGTTCCTCTTTATTGGCTGGTCTAGACAAAGATACTGCTCTTTTAACATCCCCCCACAGGTTTTCTATCGGGTTCAGGTCTGGGGATTGTGCTGGCCAGTTCATTACCTCAACCTTATTCTCTACAAACCAATTTTTAGCTTTACGAGAGGTGTGTTTAGGATCATTATCCTGCATAAAGATCCACTTCAAAGGCATTTCTTCTTTTGCATATGGTAACATGACTTCTTGCAGTATTTTAACATAAGCAGTTGCATCCATGATGTCTTTGATCCAAAAAATAGGGCCCAATCCAAACCAAGAAAAACAACCCCATGCCATCACCTGGCAGCCACCATGTTTTATTGTCTTGGTGGTATACTTTATATTATATTCTGTTCGTGGGGGTCTTCGTACAAACTTTTCGTGAATACCTGGATTAAATAAAACAATTTTAGTCTCATCACTCCAAAGGATATTACGCCATTTCGATGATGGCCATTCTTGATGTTCTTTAGCAAATGCGATTCGATTTTTAATCTGTCTCTTATTTAGAAGTGGAGTTTTTCTGGGCCTTCTGGCTTTTAAATTGGCTTTTATCAAATGTCTTCTCACTGTCGAGGACGATATTGGTAAATTTAATTCCGTTTTTATGGCTGTGGAACTCATAAAAGGATTTATCTTCGCACATCTAATAATTTTACGTTTCGTTTTCAATGACGTTTTAAATTTTCCCCCACGCAATTCCGCTTTTTGTGTCCATTTTTCGGCATTGGAAATCATTTTTGCAGAACATTGTAAAGCATCTTGGATGAATTTGTAAGTTTTACCATCTTTTAACATATTGAAAATTATTTGACGCTTCTCATTGGAACAATGTTTTGCTCTACCCATTTTAACGGTAATAAAATTGTGAAACTTAATAAAATATCGTTTAATTTTAATGAACAAACACTTACCTTAATGTATAAAAAAAATTGATGGTAAAAACAACTTTTAAGGCACTAATAGAAAATAAAGTGTATATTCACTGCTATTATAACGCACAGTTAATAAAGCAAAATTTTATAATTTAATTTAAATTCTGATACATGTATGTATAAACAGCAATATTGCCAACCTCTTTATATTTAAAAACCCTAACAGAAAATATTTAGAGAATAAAATATACAAAATTAACCATCAGTGAAAAAATTAAATGTATTTTATAAATAATTTTCTCCCACTGCTATTTTCATGCACATGACTGTATGTAACATTTGTTACATACATCCTCAAACAAACATTTGTTTGTTTATCTTTTATATAGAAATATTAATTTTTCTTTTGAAAATATTAATCTTTCGTATAGAAATATTCAAAACACCTCTTTGAAATATCTTCTTAACTAAAGTTATATATACTGTTTACCTGTTGTTAAATATTATGGTTATATGTTATAGTTGTTGTAAATGCTGACTTTTTTATATTATTAAACTGTATGTTGCAGTTAAATAATTATATAAATATGTCGTTGAGTTTATTCGCATAAAAGATTGATTATATCACATATTAAATTCACAAAACCTATTTGCTAAAGGATACAAGTCAGTATTGTGTACATGCAGCAAGGCTCTTTGCTTTCCATTTTTTGACTTGGCATATAATTATATAATTAGTATAATTATATAATTACGCAAATGAACTTGTCTAGCCTGAAAACTGGTTTAATTGGATATTTGGTAGCAATGAAAATATATATCTCAAATGAGTAGAAAAACTAGGTTCGCCATAAAATTATTAACAAATAAGCTCAGTCAAAACCATCTAACAAGCTCTTTATTGTGCTGTGAGATCTTATTTAGCTGTGAGATCTCCAAGAATGTTTAAAAACAGTATCAATTGCCAACAGTTCACAGCCTCATAAAAACAACTCTTGATGTGAATTAGCGTTCAATGTTCAAATGGAGGCTGCAGCATCAGAGATAAAACTCATATTTC